AACAAAGGAGGAAGGAACAGAACTTTTTGTTGTAGTTGTTGATCTATAACCGAGTAATTTGTCAAAGTAAAAACAACCTGTGTTTTCTATTCCCACCTCTTCCAGTGGGAATCTAATGGGGCCACCTGTCAGTCAAAAGGGGTCCTCAAAACGCATTTGACAGTTGAAATGAGAGAAATTAATAGAATAAATTGTGTTGGTTTTGTTTTTCTTATTTAATTGATTTGAAAGAAAAGAAAAATGCTAAATTCAAAACCTTTTTTATCAAAAGTTAGTTAGTGGAAACTGTCATTTCTCTATTTCTGGAATGTGTATTTAAGAGGATCTTGGGAGGCCAATATCAAAATACTACTACCTTCTTATTTTTGGTATAATTGTTTTTATTGTTCTGTTGGTAATTTTCCTATGTCAGCTTCCTTGTCTTTGAAATTTATTTTATTATTATTATTTTTTTAATTAAGCTTTATCTTTATAATTGTGTCAAACTCTTTCCTAAGGGACCTAAGGAGAGACTTATTTTTACCTTCTTTTTAAAGAGCAAGAAGATGATGCTTCCTCAAAGGACTTTGTTTTCATCATTAAATATTTAGAAGACAGAGGGATGATGTAAATCTCCAAACAAACAAATGTCTCAGCTTTACTTTCAGTTAGATTTCTACCATCAATAGTATTAAAGGGTATTTGCAGATCCTTAGAGTTATAGGTCTAATTAGCCAAGTTAAATTAAAATATGAATCTCTGTAGGATAATAGATTATTAGATTATCTTCTCAATATTGACAACTAGACTTACTTCTAGAAGGACTTTTCCCTAAGCAACGTGCTTAACTCTTGTTATCCCGTGTCCTCAGGGTTTCGGAACTAAAGATGATTACAGCTGATGAGTCCCAATAATGAAAGAATACCAGAGGTTATTAGTTTCTGATTAAGTAAAAGATTTTTCTTTGCCCAACTGCTTTCTGTTGTCCATATTGTAAGCAGGAAAAGGAGATGAATAAAAAATTTACATATGTTTTAACTTGGTTGGAGATTTTTGGTCATTACAAATGCTTCTTTTTCAAAAGATTACAAACAAGGAAATCTAGATGGATAAGCATCAGGAAAAAAAAAAAAAAAAGACAGGTAAAACAAGAAGAAAAGCTGATTTCCTTAATCAAATAAAGCTCCTTGGTCCTTGCAAGAAGAAGCAATTTATGGGCTTTTGTATAATTGTATTTTTTGCATTTCTTCCATCTCTGCCTAACTGAAAGAAAGAAACAAAAGGCAAAACAGAAAAAAACACCACCACCACCACCACCAAGAACATTTTGTTAGGGCTAGTGTTTATCATGAGGAGCATTAGAGATTCAGGATTCAAATTTCTTTATAGAGGTAGCAGTAATTCATCCCTCCATTGTAAAAATTGTATTCAAGGTAAATGAAATTTAGAGACTTCAACTTTAGTTTTGTGTGTGTGTATAAATATGTATATATTATACATGACCTGATATAAGTACCCCACAGATACTTATAAATGTGTATACCATTTTTTGTTTTTCTCATTGTTGTATCTTATAATCAATTTATGGATTCCATGGGTTGCCTAGGGAAGTGTGTTTTTGAGATAATTTCTGCATCATTCTATTGTCTTCAGTGTCTGAGAAGAACTAATATCTAAATTAAAACTTGTTTATATTTGGATTTTGTAAGAGGATTAGAGATACGTCAGAAACAATTAGGACTCTGAGGGAAAAAAAAAATCACTGCATTATTGCTGTATGATTAATATTTGTTTTTATATTAATAAAATCAACAGGATGGAAAAAAATAGTTTCCATGAGAAAGAAAAATGTATCAGTCCTCTATAAGTATACAGAAGCAACTCTGACGTCATTGGAGTTTGATAGTTGCGTATACTTCAGTGTACTTTCCAGAATGTGCCTAATTTTTTTTTGACCTGTTCATTTTTTTTAGCCAAGACACTTACAATGAAATTTCAGAAGGATTACTTGAACTGGATTTATTCTTTTCAGAGGAATATCTTTATTTCTTAAATTTTTATTGGTTACTGCAGGAAAAAAAAAAAAAAAAAAAAAAAGAAATTCTCTGAGAAAAAAAAATGTCCCTTCATATTTAATGAAAATATTTTAAAATTTGTTTCTCTTGTTAAAACAACTTGAAATGGAAAAAAATAAATACTATAGTCTCTCTGTTATTCTTTATCAGTCCTCAAAATCATACTTCAATTTTGCAGAGATTTGTGATTAGGAAACTAAAAGTGACCCAAGGCAGAGAATAATTATATTCATTATGTTCCAAAATGAGAAAAATCCTGTCTGCACTTATAAAAGATGTAGTCTTAAAATATGAATTGATATCTATGACTCTACACTTGAGGTAAAGGAGTAATAGGTTTTTTTTAAAGCTTGTCTAATACTGAATTTAATGGGATGATTTCATTCCTCTGTTTGCTATAATGGGTGAAACAACTGTGTTTTTTTTTAATATACCTTATTCATGAACCTATTCTAGGAGAAATCGGATGGTACTGCAATTACCTGGAAAAGTTATAATTTATTTTTAGAGACATAAACCATGCAATGACTTGTGTCTGTGTAGTACTGAATTGCAAGTATAACTTTTATGGTGCAGTAATGGCAAATGCCATTTTTCAGTTCACAACAGTACTCTATATTTTGAGGCAACTGCACAACTGACACTATTCCCCTTTTCTTTACCTTGAAGCAATTATCATGTCATATTTGGTGTATTATATTCAGCATGTATGAAGGTAGATAGAAAACAGAAAGTTTTTGAATTTGATATGCTTCCTTCTGTGAGTTTAAAATGCTGTGAAGTTGAAAAAAAATAAATAAGACTTCAAAACACTGAAAGTGAGATTTTTTTAATGTTTCGCTAAAACTCTCTGCATATTCTTTCATTGCCGGAGGGAGATAGTTAAAAGAGTGCTTTAAAACTAGAATCAGACTTACTGGTTTTGCTCTGAGTTAACAGAGGTAGTATTGCTTTTTTATTTTTTTTTTTCTATGGGACATTTATATTTGAAAATATCATTATCTTACGCCATAGTATTGCTAGTATAGTCTGTTGTTCAGGGGCTTCATTCTACAATGACTGCTAATGCTTAAGTTGGTATGTTAGGAACATTCCTGTTAAAATCAGTAGATGTAATCAGAGAATTTTAAATTATGTGCATGTACTAAAACTTTGAAGAGTCACGTATCTGGTTACTTGTGAACACTATCATTTTCTCTCTTTCTTCCTCTCTTTCCCTCCCTCTTTCCCTCTCTCTTTCTTTTTGGTTGAGATCTAACACTTGTTTTCAGATTTCCTTAGATGAGAAATTTCTGTGAGGCTTCATTTTTCTCAGCAGAAGCACCTTTATCAATGGAAAATTAACTGAACGTCAATATTTGATGAATAAACAAATAACAAGGTCTACTGACCACAGGAACATTATTTATTTCACAGATGTTCCAAATTATATTCAAATTTATGTGGGCAGTGTGCCTCTGCTGACAGGATAGAGAACAAGGTGTATTTAAGAAAGTATTTTTTTGTCTTCATCATATATTTTAACATTAGGTTAACAATGATCTGATGGGCTATGAGAACATCTGAAGCTGTAGGAAGACTCACTGATTTTAAACAAGGTCTGCTTATGTCTATTTCCTGTTCATGAACACATCTTTCATTGCGCGTACATTTAGCTTTAGTACCCTGGAATTCTTTCATTGCCAGCCTGTGCTCAAGACAATAAATCTGAGGCTCTGTGTTTCTTATGTTGATCAATGTAGCCAGTGGGAAAATATAATGCTTCCCTAGGGCTTTGTGCTTGTAAAGTGGAAACAGTGGGAAAAATACAAAATAAATGAACTCAGTGAGATGTAAGGACAAGTGTGACAAGGAATGATTCATAACTAATGAATTCATTTCAATGTTGACTTTTGGGATTGAGAAATTAACTGAGAGGAACTGGATATTGCTGTGCTTAGATGGTCTCAGTACTAGCTTCTCCCTCTAGGATATTATCCTGGCACTTGGCTAGACTGCTAGCTGGATGTATAAAGAAAGCAGAGTCTTTGGCATAGTCAAAGTAATGTCTATGAGTTGTTGTAATGTAGGATTCACTGCTTGTTACTTCACTACTACAAGCCCCATTCACACCATTTTCTGTACCAAATCCATTCCTTTGCTGGTTTAATGGTATGACGTCCTTCCCATCCTGTCCATGTGTGTGCATCTGCCTTTCCTTGTATCAGAAATTCTTCATTGTCCTTCAGCGTTTGGTCCACAAAGAATAAAACCTTCCTCTGGAGGTATTGTGAACTTACTTTTTTTTTTCTTTACTTTTTTCTTTTTTTCTTTTTTCCTGAAGATGTCTTGGTAAGGACTGCCTTCTCTCAGTTGGGCGCACTCTCAGAAGGCTGTCTTTGACCCCTGGTTATAGTTAACATGTATTCTAAGGAGTTAATAATCTATGGAAAGTGATAAAAACAAAACAAACAAAACCACACACACAAAATATGGTGTATTCCTGTTTTGTTGTTTGTTGTGAGATTATGAACAGTTTACACTTCAGTTTTTGGAAAGCTTTTTTTTACTTGTTTCCATGACATGGGATTTTGTATTGCCATTCTTAGTGTGTCTTCCCTAAAGACAGAAAATCCTTTTTTTTCACTTTTCATCCTCTGCCCACAGAGCTGATAGATTTGGTCTTTATGCTGTTTTGCTGCTGCACTGCATTACATTTTTCATTAAGGAGGCTGCATGCGGCCAGATATCTAATTAATGACATTAGAAGGGCACAGGTTGAGGGAGAAATGGAATACAGTTTCTGATGAGGTCAGGTTGATGATTACATCTAATGTTCTTCAGGTGGCCTTGCACTAATCCATGGGAACAAATCCCATATACCTTTAGAAGAGAGGCAAGCAGAAACTTGTAAGGGTACATATCCAGGATGTTCACTGAAATAATACTGTGTTTTTTCTTTTCTAGAATAGTACACCCTGCTACTTGGGAAACAGCAAAATGCCAGTCCTTTCATGTGATACTATGGTCAGTACACTTTCTGTCTTGAAATTCCACTTCATGTTGCCAGCAATGCATTCAGACATTGTTGTGTCGTGTTGTGCTGTGCAGAACATTTCAGGCTTTTAAGGGGAAAAGGGTGATGGTTTCCTGGTAATTTGCATCTGTAGCTTGCTGCCTGTTTATGGTTTGGAAATTACTATTGCATGGCTCAGTCTAAATGAGAAATGATGCTGTTAAAAAGCTTTACTGTAGAAAGGAGAAAAAAAATATCTTTAAAAGCTATGCTTACATTAAAAAGGCTTTTTAAGTATATATGTATATATGTTGGTCCTAACTTTCTAGATTTGTTGTACAAAAGGATTTCACAGATTTTTACCTTTACAAAATGGAAAACATTTCAACAATTTAATTGCACACACCATAAACTTTCACTGTTTTTTTTTTTCATTATTTAAGTGCCTATCTTGTCATCATTTTACCTTTTTTTTTTTTTAATCATATTATCAAGTGCTCAAAACCCACATTCTCTCTAATATTTTCTTTTCTGTTTTGATTGTGTTGATTGTATGTGGTAAGGCATGTGGCAAGGCAGATAATTAAAGCAATAGTGAGGGTAGCAAGTGACCTGACTTTCACCTATGAACAGTTACTGTGGCAAGATTGCTGCATTGGTCCTGCAAAGTGCCTGTGTTTTAACCAGGCAAATGGAAGAAGGAGTTTTTATTCAAAACAGTGGTTACAATTTTGAGCAACTGGTAAAAAAAGAAAAAAAAAATAGCAAGTAGGATATGGAAATAGAAATCAGAATAGATTCTGGTTCATATCCACCCCTTACAAAAATAGGCAGAGGGGGTGTATGATTTGGCTTGCACCCTGAAAACAAGACAGCAGATATTTAGCATTCCCTTCCCTTGTAATGCTGTGAAACTTGCTGCTCTCTCAGTGGAACAGTACTCAATGGAGATGGAAGAGGACTGAAGGACTCTGAATCATTTATGTACTGCTTGAACAGATTTCCAGCAAACAAAAGAGTTTCTGATGACAGGTCCTTTGATTCTTCAGAAGGAATCATTAGTCCCAGTATTGATATTTTTATGATTGTTGCCCATGTTGACATGAAATTAAGTTGTATTCTGGCATCCAGTCCAGCTCTTTGTGGCTTGGGAGCTGGAGTATGGTCAGACATGTTTTCTGTCTTAAAAGTGTCAACCTCCTTCTTTTACTCCTGCTTCCAATTTCTTTATGCTGATTGCGGCTCTACAACATTTGCATTTTACTCAGGCAGTGCTGTTGTCACTGTTCTTTTCCTGTGCCTTGTCTTACAAATTTATACAAGGTGCATTTAAGAAAATCTTTTTTGTCTTCATATATTTTAACATTAGGTTAACAAAGATCTGATGCACCATGAGTACAATTGAAGATGTAGGAAGACTCACTGATCTTAAGCAAGATCTGCCTATGTCTGTTTTCTGTTTGTGCACATATCTTTCAGTGTGCATACATTTAGTTTTAGGACCCTGGAATTCTTTCATTGTTGTTGTGTTGGTTTTGTTTGTTTTTGTTTTCTTTTTTGTTTTTTTCCTCACCAGCAGGTAGGTGGGAAGGAAGAGTTCTCTTCCCCCTAGTAAAACACCCAAGGTACTATCAAAGTGTTGTAGTTTATTGCAGAGAAAAGCAAGCCATACAGACAAACAAAGCCTAGCTCCCAGCAAGCAGTGGAGACTATGGGAATATCTTACTGAAAGAGGATGAGGTATTGTAAAAATTGTCAGATGGACCACCAAAGTGCTTCGGCACAGAAAGGTAAGACACAAGAACACAGTTGCAGTTTAATTTTCTCAAGCAGAATATGATTTGTAGGTAAGGCAGGAGTAAAACTTTTGGATTTCTTTCAGTTAGCCAGGCTGCTTTGTGTTCATGCAGGTATTTTTACATTTGTGCAACTGGCTTTCTCCAGAATGAATAGACTGTCTTTGGTGATTTACACAGTACTGTCAGTCTTGGCCAAAATATGATTTGGAAGACGGTGTGAGTACCTGTGACAACTTGAAGTACCTGAACTGACAGCTTATGCCTTGTTTACTGTTGGCAACTCTTGTCTTTCTACATGACAGAAACCAAAGCCTGTTCTGAATGGGAAGACTGTATACATACTTGTCTCCCCTCTACTTTAAGTTGAAGCGTGCAAGAACTGGTGGTTTTCTGCTTTCTGGTGCATGCATCATACTGTAGTACAGGCACAGAAACTCTATTACAAACTTAAATTTTTAGTGGGGGGAAAAAAAAAAAAAAAAGAAGCTATAGTGTGGCAATGGAAAAGATGAAGGGAATTACCGCTGTCCTGGATTGATACAGTAGCAAGAAGGAATTTGTCAGACAAAATGTCAGGAGATCCTGTGAAGAAGTGAGCAACTCTTCAAGCTATGAGAGAAAGAAAAAAATATTTTTAAATTCCTGCAGCTCAGCCTGGGAGAAAATTCTTTTGTAGCCCCAACCTGTTTAACCCTGAATGCATGAATAATCTTGGAGATACTCAGCTCTGCTTCTTACCTTACAAGACTGGTATTCTCCACAACTGTATTAAAGTAGGAACAAATGAGCCAACAAACAAACAAAACCTTCATGTTTCTCAGTAAACCAAGGAGAGGCTCCTATAATTAGCTCATTCTATTGTATAGCTGTATGACAATTGAGTTAGCTATGTGTGTGTCCTATTACCGTGCATTAAGTTAATAGATATTCTATGTACAAAATTAATGTTATGTTGCAATATTTGTGTAAGTGGAAGAATGTGACAGACACTCAAGTAAAATAAGTCTTTTACTTTTTTATGTCAATTTATTACTACTTTTCCAAGTTACCATATACGCTCTGAAACAAAAATGATTTCTAAGCATGTTGAGTTTTTCACAGTGTATTTTTATATACAATGGGTAAGGAAAGTTACCTCTTTATTCTGTGTTTAATTGAGAAAATAAGAGATTGAGTGGATGAGGGATTGAGGATGCCTACAAATTATTAATAAATGATACTTTCTTCTACCAGCAGAAGGGTAGAAAGAGGAGGTAGTGGGGAAGATCTAGGTATTTCTTTTGCATTTGGAGGACAGAAGTTTTTAATGACTTCTCTTTCACAAACTTTACTGATTCAAGCTAGGACAATTTAAGAGGTTATCACCTCTAGCTGTCCATCACATCCATTGAGTGGCATTTACAAGTCCCGAAACTAGATGAAGAGCAGTGGGTCTGGTCCTAAGGAGCTGCAATTCAAAATCTAGCATATTAATGCAAAACATCATTGATTTTAGTCCGTGTTAATATATTGATCTATGAACTACCGTGGCTGAGAGCTCTGATTCATGTTTCCCATTGGATTTAGCAGCATTTAGGGGCACAAGCCAATTCAGTCATCCTAGCTAATTGTAAGGAGAGGCTAGAGACTAGAGAAGGCCATCAAGAAGTAAAATGCTTATCTGACTAGCCAGAGTCATGGCAGTTGTAGTCCCTGAGTGTATGCAGAAGAACTTTGGTTATACTTTTGGGAGGCTTTGCAATGACCATTCATGTAACAAATGTGAGATGGGTAGAGGGAATGTTGACTAATCTCTGATCAGCACAGTGGTTAAATGTCGTCATAGTACCAGCTTTCAGTAGGTTGCCCACAATATTAGCCTTGTATCTGTGAATCTTTGAATGCCTCTTTTTCTGTTTCTTTTCCATACAATTGTGTTTAAGTATCTTCTGGATACACTGGTGATAACCTGGTGAGTGTAGCAGCAGCAGATTGAATGCCAACAAAGGCAAAAATTATGTTTGGTTAATTAAATGGTGTTTCTTGCATTGACCTTTGGTGAGCTGCTGGTTTCAAGTTCAGGCTGGTATAGCATTCTTGATGATAAGCCATACCACTGAAGAGGCAGAGCAAGGTATTAAAATCGTAACTTATCCACTCTATTCCAGACATGTGTCCTGAACATGTTTCATAGAGTATATATAGCTAGAGATTCTGTGCTTGTAGGCTTCTTGCTTTTGTGTGTGTTTGGGTGTGTTAATCAAGCCCAGTGTTATAAAAGTTAACACATTACAGTTCAGCATTGACAAATAAATCCCAAAATTTAAATTCCAACAGTAATGACAACTTACTGCCTCCTCCATATAGTAAATTTAAATCTATGGCATGTGCCTTTTTGTAAGGAATAATTTTAAGTAAAAATAGACACCAGATTCAAATTGTCAAAATCTTATCAAAACAATTCACATTTTACTTCTTGGCTTGTTTTCTGAAGTATGATCTTAAGTAAATACGTATAAATTGAAAATAGTAAATGTTTACCTTACTGTAATATTGACATTGGAAGAATTTTTTGCATTTAAACACATAGCTGTTTTAATACAAAATTGCATTACAGATAACCTGAAACCAGGTTACTGGTTATTCCAGGTAAACTGGAATACTGCTTATTTTTTTTTTTTAACTTATCTTTCTCTATTACATTTAAAGATGGACTAGAAATACTGTTCATTTTCCACTGCCTGTTTACTTTGTAAATCTAAACATATTTGTCTCAAACACATGAAGTATTCCAGATATCTTCAGAAATACTTGTTGGTATCTTCAAAAATACTTAGGAAATACACGTGAGAACAGAGGAACATTCAGGTTGAAGTAAATGAAATATTTGTTAACAATGTTCTTATTTTCCTCAGTAGGCAATAAGGGTCCTTTGTGAGGCTTGAAATCCCATCACGCATCATCATCACAAAGCTATTGTCGAAGGAATACCATGAGAAAACTGGTTATGATCTAACAATTAATTTGGGTAAGTAGAAGGGTGTGGAAGTACTCAGAATTATAATTGCCACTGTCATGAATTTCCACTCTATTAATTCAAGGAGGTAACAATCTATTTTTTATCCAGCACACCTGAGGTCAAAGGGAGTTCTTGTCATTCCTGTTGTTCTTGTTCTTTGTTCTTCTTGGTTACCAAACTGCAGTGACAAAGGATGAGTTCTTAATACTGATTTTTACAAATACGCTTTCCAGTTGTTAGATATCACAACAGATATGGCTTTGCAATAATAATAATAATTAAAAAAATAATGAATTAAAGAATTCTACTTCATAGAACGTTAAATATTTCATAAGGTTAAAAAAATGAGGAAACAGTGGAGTAATAGGCCTGTATTCATTGAAAAAGGCTTTTTCAAGTTATTCTCAGAGTTTTTTCTTGAGGAGAGTTTTCCTCACACACACTAAAACATTTACAGTTTTTTTGGCTGGCATGGGAGGAGTCTTAATTGGAAATATCACTATGGACTCTATTAAATTAGAATGATGTGAGCATCTACTTATTTTAGACTTCACATAGTAGAACGCTGTTGTCTTTTTGATTATGAAAGTTAATCTTGAAAGGCCCAGCAAAACTCAGAATTCAGAGGCAAATACTAAAAAGAAACTCATAAATACTATGTTTTATTTTTTGTTATTGTGATTTAGAGAAGAGTGGACTTATTTTATTTTATTTTATATTTTATTTTATTTTATTTTATTTTATTTTATTTTATTTTATTTTATTTTATTTTATTTTATATTTTATTTCTAATGAGAAGTTTCTCCTTTACATTTTGAAATGAATAATCTGCACTTTTTTCATTTTCTAATATCAGAACATACTGATTATATCACATCGTTATTTGTTTCAAAAAAAAACTTTTTACAAGTCAGGCATAAAGCCAAGAAAATCCAGACTCTGATAATGAGGTGTAAATATGCATGTATCTTTGTGAATAAAAGGTAAAATAACTTGTTACCTCAGAGAATGAGCATATGTATGTAGGCTTTTAACAGAATAGCCAAACTACTGTAAATCTAGTTTTCAAAAAATCATTTATCTAATTACACTGTTAGGCTTCTTTAATTATGTTAGAGCCTCATTCATGGAATTGTTATTAGTTTAGAATTAAGATGCACATGATTTTCTATTGCCCAGGAAAAAAAATCTGATTTAAAGTCTGAAGAATAGTGTAAAGAAATTCATTGCAGAATTTTAAAGAGGGAAATCACGAACTCTGGGAAACATGATATATACTGTATATTTGCTTGTATAAGAATTCTTGAGGTTCTGTAGTTAAACGTGATTCCAGTATTAATATATGTATCAAGAAATATACATTTTCCATCTTCTTATGTAAAAATTACTTTTTAATTCAACTTAAATATATGTATACCAAATTAAAATTTGTATATAATTTTTGAGTATGAAAATATATTTTTATTCTGTGGTATAGAATTTTACCAGAGATTTTGAGAGAAAATACAGATTCACCAGATCTGCTGGGGAACCTGCAGAAACATATCTGCAGCATTTTCTGTTGTCAGAAGTCAGTGTAAAATAATTCAGTATATAGATAGTGTGCTCAGCACCTCAAATGCAAATGTTCTTTTTCAGCTTTGTCTAGTAGGCTCTTATTCATTTATTTTTTTTTACCTTCTATTTTTTTGTTATGATCTAAGAAAGATTTAAAAACATTAGTAAAGGAATGATGTGGTTCAGTAAGTCAGGTATTTTGTGCTGGAATCTCTGAAAGTAAACCCTTCTGGTTCCGATTTTGAATGCTTACCCCTAACAAAACATGGTCATTTTTGGTTTACATACAGCTAATAGAAACGTGATAAAATAAATTACTCTGGCTTCAATGGATGCAACCTGGTAGTGAATGAAACGTGAGCCAGTTTACCCTGCAGCAAAATGTGGCTGGATATCTCCAGATAGCGACGGCTGGCCTGTGAAGGAGTTAAATATATACACATGTATTCATTTTCTTTTTTCAGAATTACACTTCTCTACCCCAACTATAAAGGCAAAAAGTTATTTTGCTATTCTGTTTCCTTTCAAATTCATGCAGCAGAACAGTTTGCTTTGTTAATTATTCATTATGGGGAAATCAACCATGATTTTGAAGATTAAAAAGGAAAGAGTAGGAAAAATGTAATGTTAACTAACTTGTGAGCAGAAGGTTCAGGGCCTATCAAATCAGAGTCTGTACAGTAAATTAACTCTCAAAACGTAAAACTTCTTCAGATGGAAAGGGCAATGATGAATTGTTTTAAGCAAGAATTTAAAACCAGAGTCTCCTAATAAAATGTCCTGACCCACTGAATGTTCAACATTCTGCTGATATCAATTGAGCAGAAAGATTACCAAATTTAAAATGCACTGTCCAGATGATTGGCTCTTATTTCCAGCATATACACATGGTGGAAATAACTCTTATCAGCGTGCATATACATCAAAACTACTGTGTTTTACAGGGCTCTTATTCAAAAATCTGGAGCAAAACTGTTACCCTAAATTATTGTTTAGAAACATATTAACACAATTGCACTAGGTGCAGCAGCTGTTGAGGTTCAGTAAGGAAAAAAAGAGACTTTTAATTATGGTACAGCAAATATATATTACAACTGTTTAGTTGCAAAGATTATTTGTACTTGACTTGTTTTGCTTATACATAATAACTCTGTTGCAAATAAATAAAATAGATTACAGCATTTTCAAAAGGTGGAAACATATTGAAAAGTAATGTACAACTCAGACAGCGGTTTATAATGTGAAGATATTTTTTACATGTGAAAGTTAGATTTATTTTTGTTGGCTTTGACTGAAGTCTGATGAAATGAAATGAGTAGACTTGGTATTTATTTTCATAGCCTGTAGGTATGCTTGGCATTTTTGTTGACATTTGGAATCAGTTTACACTTGTGCAAGCCGTGTAACAATAACCTGTAAAGATGCTGTACTAGCATATTTTCAATTAATCATGAAGCTATGCAGGTAAATTTTTATGAAGACGTGCTTTCCTCCGAAATCAAAGTATGCTAAATCTCTAGTATCCTTACTTTATTTAACATATAATAACCATGTTCCTTCATCTGTGTGGGTAAAACAGAATACTGCAGGTGACAGTATGATCAAGGCCAACCAGCATGCAGAAATAGTATCATACATGTCTTGTTCTGCCACCTCAAAAATAACATTAAAGCTTATTTTCTTTCTGCTTTCTTTCTTAGTTGGAACCAATATAGTGTTGCAAGGAAAATAACTGTTATTAAACTAGAACAGTACATACTGTCCATGCAGAAAGATAGCTGGAGTGATATCTAGACAATTGCATAAAATATAGCATGCCAAGAGAAATTTTGGAATAACATGAAGAGTCGAGTATTCTGAACTAGACTTCATAGAAAAAATCCACCAAAGTATTTCTTATCTTATGTGGAGAACAAAAGCAATGGGAAAGAAATATGGTGAGTGCACCTATCATCTATAAAGTATCAGTAGAATACCAGCATATAATATAATCATTTTGCCTGGTAATCTGGAAATTTTCTGTTTGTTTTGTTTTGTTTTGCTTTGCTTTGTTTTTGTTTTTGTTTGAAAATGAATGTACATGCATTATCTAAATTAAAACAAACAAACAAAAACAATGCAATATCTTAAATAGAATTAGAGTAGAAGCGAAAATATTTATTAGAAATCCTGAAAACTAAAAAAGTACTAGACCATAAAATTAGATGCTTTCCATTAGCTTTCTGGCTTTTATTATGGTATGTCCTAAAATACATTGGGGTGGGGTAGAAAAAATGTCACATTCTTTCTTTTAATGGAAGTGATGCTTCTTAGTCCACAACAAGAAGTGGCATGTTCTCATGGTCTGAAGAAGAATGGTACTACATCCATCATTCAGTTCCTTCTTGCTGGGGCCCCAAAAATTGTAAAATAACTAGTGCATAGCTACTTGTCATAAAATCTTTGCCCTTTTTGGCTAATTATAGTTATTTTTGTCTTGCTTAATTTTTATTCTTTTTCCTCTTCCCTCACCATTGCTTCATACTGATCTTTTGGCTAGAAGATGTCAACTGAAAGGTACCAGCTTTTAACCTTTATTTTTCCTTTAATTAACTTGCACATTTTCAACCAGGTAAGAAAACCTAGTGATGCTGAATTAAAACCGTGTCTTCTGTAATGTTCGTAGGTGCCTAATGAATGAGAACTTCTGCCTTGAACATAAAGCTCCATTGAATTCCTTGATGTAACAGGAAAATTAAGAAGTTCTGGTAGAAGGAATTTGTTTAATGTAATACCTGGTAAACCAACAGTCATGTAGGAAGGGGGTTATAAGCATAGGAGTTATCAATGTGTATAGCAGCAACTTCTCGGAGCCACAGTGATCCTCGGTTGTTTCAAATTCCTTGAAGAGCTATCTCTCTTTATGAACACTACATTGTTTACATCCCAAGAATGTTTAGATCTATGCCACTGAATTTAGATATATGAGCCATAATATTGCCTGGTTAGACCCAAAAAAATGCAGTTGTACGTTCATCTAGACTGGTTAACTTACCACTTTGTTTTCTAAGGTGTGAATCTGAAGACCTGCATGACCAACAGTCCTAGAGTTTGTTCTAGATTTGAGAAGGCTTTTAAAAAAACTTGTTAATCAGAGGTGAGCAAATGAATTGTCAGTCAAATATTTGTACCACTCAGCAAATTTAATGTTTTGATTTTTATCTAACTTAAACAGCCACTGTTGAGCATTCTGCAGAAGCTAATACATTGTGTTTGTATTGGAAACTGAATTAGAAGGTAGCATTGTCTCTATAAAAGCCCAAATAAGCCAATGACAAATCCTGAATGCACTTTTTACACAGAGCATAAAATTCACACACTCAAAACTGATTGATTAATCAAACCCAAAAAGTACTGTATGAATGCAAGTGTGGAAAACTAGTGTGCAGTATTTTTTCCATATGCAAAATGAATTGAAAATTGTTTATAAATCCATAGTTTAACGGTTTTAATATATGTCTTGAAATATGTGGATGGGAGAAGGTTTACATGATCAGTATATATTAGTTAATAGTGAAATGACTGAACAAAATGGAAGGTTTTATCCCACCCTGTTTTGCCCCCCACATTCTGTCCCATCCCATACCCCTAAAAAAAAAAAAAAAAAAGGTAATCTGAAGTGTTCTGGAGAAAATCAACAGGCACCTTGGAAAAAGTTGAAGGACACAGATATAACTTTCGTTTTCAATTATACAACTTTTATTTTGGTAGAGCAAGTGTATTTCACTGATAAGGATGACTTTTAAAATATAATTGAATATTTAACTTTTAGTATATGCATAAGATGGTTTATTATTCCTTCCCATCCATAATATAGAGCATTTTACATCAGGATTACATTTTTTCAGACCAGGTCTTTTATAATCAAACTTGTTTCACAGTTTAATCTTATCATTATATTGCAGACCAATACTCTTAACAGTTTTATTGTTAATCAAAAGTTGGCAAGATTCCGTATCATGTAGCTTTTCCTTGCTTCAAAAACACAATATCCTGAACCAAAAAATGAAAAATGAAAAAAAAAAATAAAAATGTGCTCTAATATTAACAGTTATTCTAATAGTAAATAAATAAATAAATAAAACATGATGAGATGTGGTGAAAAATATCTCTAGTAATCTTACTGAAGGTTATGAAATTCAGTGACTTGTGGAAATGTTATTTGTAGTTCATTTTATTGGATAACTAAACTTGCATATTAGATTGGTGTGAGATGATAATCCCTTCACTATGAAGCTTTTTGCTGCATTTGATTTTATGGCTAACTATTAAAATCAATAATACTGAAAACTAAACTAACAAACACAGAGGCAAAATTTATTCTACTATATCAATTTTGATATTCTTGTTTGTCTGCTCTGTTATTCTTTCTACAATAGAATATTACTGTTTTTAATGTTTGCAGATGAATTTGGAGGAAGGAATTTATAATAGGTGGATAGATTTGCAATACAAAGGGTATTACATCTGCATAGCAATTAGAAAAGTTTCTCTCTGATTTTCAGACTGGGAGGGAGGGAGGGAGAGAGGGAGAGAGAGAGAGACAGGATCTTCCCCCTCTAGCCTGCGGGAAGTTCCACGTGGTCCTTTACACCCAGCAGAATGAAACAAGCTCCGATAATGAAAAGGTCCCTCAAAGAGTAGATTTGGTCATGAACACTGGTTGCATATGGAGCTCCACAACAAAAGAAAGAAAGAGAGTCACGTGTTCATTAAAATAATTTAATGTTTTTGAACAACATAGCAGAGAAACTAATCTGTTCTTGGGTATTAAAAACATCATCAGTTAAATAAGTTCTTTCACACACATTACTTACTTCTGATGGCCAACAACTTCTTTAATATACATGTATTTAAGTCTCCTTAGTACAGTTAAGCAGTTTTGTTAATACTTGGTAAATACTCGTGGGGAAAACGTCACAGTTTTTTCCTTTGTCTGCCCCAAATGGCATTTAAAAGGCCAAAATATAATCAATGTAGGTGACAGTATCTTTTTAGCCCTAACTGGTATGACATTTGAGGTTACAGATGGATGATGCATCAGATATAAGTACAGATGTTCCTGACATGTTTCTGAACTTGTTGGCTACCAGATTAAAATTTTTAGATCACAATTAAAGCTTTTGTGATAAAATTGATATCTTGTAGTTGGACTGGTGGCACTGCTTATGACACATAAAGAATCAGTACCATTGCACCAAATTAAAGCCAGAACACTGTTGCAACCATTCTTGAACTTCTAACACTATAAATCCATCATGGGTAACACTTCCTCAAATGATTATCTGTGTTGTTTAAATTTGGGAGCAAAACCGTGTAAATCTAAAGTGTTGTATACCTAAAGGCTATAAAAAAGAAGTCTCTGACCTAGCATTGATAATTTGAGACTTGGTTACATTTCTTCTTTTAATTCTACACTGTCAGATACAGCAAAGCTTTGTAGGTCATGAAGATACTGTCTTAAATAACTTTTAGATAAGCTAGTCCATGCTTTACATGTAAATGCAAATGCAGATATTTATGGATAGTGTACTTGATACCTCCATAACTAGTAGTGGCCTTTCTGCTGCATTAAATCATGAATGTTTTAGTATAGCCAAAACTATTGTTTCTCATTTATGTATGACATTATAAAAGGAAATGAAGTCTAAACCTTTCACTATAAGTGAATATTTTCTTTGAGAAACTGTGTGCTACCTTCTCTGTTACTTCCTGATCTGTACTGTAAATTTCAGTATCAAATTTTGAAAGCTTCAAAGTGATTAAAAAAAAAAAACAAAACAAAACAAACAAACAAAACAAACAAAAAAAAAAAACAGTTATTTTGTGGTTCACTAAAAGGATGTTTTTGGCAAGAAAAACTAAATTTAGACAACTGCAAGTCGGCCCAAACTAAACCTTGTAAAAATTTTATGGACTATTAAAAAAACATTTGCTGTTGGAACCTTGCATCTGGAATGTAATTGGTAGTCATAATCTGACTATCTATTGCATCTTTTGATATGAGAATACACATTTGCATTTTTTCGGGTGTAATATAAAGTTGTAAGTTAAGAGAATTTAATGTGTTGTGCTACAACTGTGCCATGTAATTGTGTTTTATTGTTTATTTGCACACAAACACAGAGTTTGTGTGACACTGTGACATGCCACCTACCTAAATTTTATACAGAAAACAAGACAGCAAAGCTGTTCATAAACATGTACAAATGCATATATTGATATGAAAGAAAAACATCAAAGATTAACAGGTCAGATTTATTTTTTTCCATTTTTAATGATGGCTTAAAGAGACTCCTTTGACGTTAGTTATTCCTGTAGGACTCTTCAAACCAGAAATCTGCACCAGCCCTATTGTCTTAAAGCTAGAATTGTTCATGTCTATCCACCCTTCTCAAATTGCTATAGCTCTGATGATTCTTTTGATTCTTATAATATACTGGGGACATTTCTTAGTTACCAGAAATGAATTACCAAAATAGCACACAGAGATTATATTAACCTAGAATAAGCTGACTTTAGGCTATGCAACCGGAATTTACCTGAAGCTTTGACTTCCTATTCGGGATCTGGAGCAGGGAACACCATGGACACCTGTGCTTAGGCTGACCAGGATGAAGCAGAGAGGGCCCTCTTTCACCTTTCAGTTGCAGGATGAGCTGGTGCAGTGGCAGGCTTGCAGTGCCGGGGCAGCTGGGTGGCCATCACCCTGTCCTTCCATGGAGAGCAGACCTGGGAACAGCATGGCAGGTCTTCAGTGTGGTTGCATTTCCAGGAGCAGGGAAAAACTGGTTGCTCCTTGGGTCAGATCTTTTGGAGTCAGTTCCTTCAGAAGTGCCATCCTGTATCATTTAGCTTTGTGTATGACTTCTGTAAAATAATGTAAATGTATCTGTGGCACCTCTCTCATGTGCATCTAAAGCAGTGAGTTTGCTGATTGATGTATCTAATTGTAGCTTGACAATGTCTGTAGGGCTGAGTCTGTGATTGGCAAAGCTATGAATTTTAGTTCCCTTACACTGCCTGAATCACATCTGTACTATCATGACCTGACAATTATTTAATCAGCATATGGTATCACTATCTATCTGTTTATATGGTTGTAATTATCATATATGACATTCATATAGGCTTGTAAAATACAGTATGAATTTTAGATTATGTGAAAAATTATGAACAAGAGAAGTATTTTAATCAAATGCTATATTTAGGTATGGGAAGTAGTTGTATATATTATTAACCTACTATTTTAAGTGAATTAGTGAAATAATATGTATTTATACTACTGTAAAAATAATGTCTGATGTATTGAATATTTATTACAGGTGAATGATACTTCTGAATGATCTCATCACTTATAAATATCAATAAAATCTTTCATTTAACAACTCAATTCAAATGCCTTTTATTCTGCTGAATAAACATAGAGCTCACTGATATTTTATGAGTGATGAGAATGTTCTAGTGGACCTCATTATTCACAAAATACCAATAAACTGAACGTTTATTCAGTTCAGCAAACCAGAAAGAAAACCAAACTGTGAATTTAAATGGTATGAAAATAAAGGGATATAAAAATAAAAGGATATAAAATAATGTCTTAGTAACCACACATAGTCAAGAAGAATAATCTCAGCTTTATTCCTTTAAACATGAGATTGCTTAATGTTTTATTGAGTTCCCGTTGATTTAAATACTGCTCAAGTATATAAAGTTAAACACGTTCCAGGTTCAGCAGGGGTTCTTAACTCCTATTTACATTCCTAACCTCCTGCTGAAACCATGTGATTAGTCATTTGCAGTATCAGACTGCTTCATATGGTTTTCAATACACATCATTTATTTACCCTTCTGATTTCAGATATAAAATTGGCTTATTTTCAACTCCAGGTTTTCAGAAACAATGACATGTTTAGAAACACAAGTCCTATGCTAAAAGTTACAAACTATCAGTGCTTCACATTTTTATTTCTTTTTGTTTCTTTTTATTACAATTGCACATACTTATATTAGCAAGAGGTCCCTTAAGAAAACTGATTTGCCTCAAAGGAGCTGAAGTAACCCTATATCCCTTGTCTGACCAACCACTATACAGTTCACAATTTATTATGTGTACTAACCTGCATATAGAAATGCCTGAACATAACTCAAGAAAAAATCTGATGGAAAAATCATTATTTACCCTCAAATAACTAATTTCCTACTTATTTTTGCAATTCTGTCTGGTAAAAAGCTTGGGATATCCACATACACATTAAATGGAGCTTTCATAGAGCAGCGATGCTTATCAATTTCTTCTTTCTCCCTCTTGATTTGTATTGTCAATACTTAAAAAGGGAAAGAGAACCCCAACGCTTAAGGGGGATGAGTTGCATGGAACTTTTGATCTTCCCATCTCTAAATGTTTTTGAACTGTTTGCATTTTGATAGCAGGTAATAATAAACCTTTTATTTCCTACTACACCATCTCTGTCTGACTTCTTTAGTAATAACAATGATAAAGCTCTACGTCTTTGATCCTGTTGTTACTGTTGCATGGCTAAAAGCATAATCTTCGATCGCATTCCAGTCAGATGACAAGTGTCTTGCTTGCTGATTTCAAAAAATAAAAGTTTCTTTAACTTTTAGTGATGAGAGAAATGAAAAACTGCTTGGATAAATGTTTATTTTGCAAAGCACAGATTTAAACTGCTTCAATTTAATTTTGTTTTCCTTTTACCAATATTGCAGAACGCAGTTTCAGATATTTCTAAAATATTGCTCTTTTTACGTTAGTATAACAAGCTTTTATGCTTGTTTGTTTTGGTGTGTGTGTGTGTTTGTTTTTTAGTTTTGCAATTTTAGTTTGTTCTAGTCTAAAAGTAGTTTAGGAGAAGAAGACAACCTCAAATTCTATTCACACATAATTCAGTTTTGTGGTTCTGGTCACATATTTCTGTAAAGCTATCTTTTAACTTACTAAGGATGTGAATAATCCCATTTAAGGGGAAAAAAAAAATAAGAACAAGAAATCATTTAATAATGAAACAACAGTAACATCAAAAAACAACGTAAACTGACTTTGTAATGCTTCAGTGGACCCATCTCTCCACTAAATAACAAGCTAATGAGAAATTTGGTGAATTATTCTGTTTTTCAAATACATGATAAAAAACCTAAATCCCTGGAACCTGATTATAACTTAAAAAAAAAACAAAAACAAACAAACAAACAAAAAAAAAACAGACAAATATAAACCTTACATTGCTAGCACAGCAATGCAAGTTACATATTGCCGTTAGATCAAGAGCAACAGAGAGAACTGGTATTTATTTATTTATTTATTTATTTATGTATCAAACATTCCTCATATTATTTTTTCTACATGTTTACCTGATAAATTCTTTCATTTGCGGTTGAACTACAGATCTAGAAAATATGGACTGTATGGAAAAAAAATAAATATATTTCGGTTTT